ATATATATATATATATATATGCTCCTTCCCTCCTCGCTTCTGTTCTAGCTGTACTTTAGGGCTACACTTTTAGTGGAGGGTCCTGGTCCTGGCTTGGGACTGCAAAACCTTATGCCATGTATAGTTCAGACTAGGCAGTATATGACTACACTATATGTAGACCATACTAAGTCGTACTAAAGTAATAAGGACTCATGAATACTCATGATATATAACATCGGGGCCGAATCAAATTTAATCGGGCCGATTCAACCTGAACCCGCACCGATTCAGCATGAATCGTATTCGCCAAAGCATCCATCCTGCAGGTTCTGTTCACTCACGCCCCTCCGTACCTTGCTCTAGCCGCATCAGACAAGGCTGCAATCAATATATATATATATATAGATAAACTGAATGAATTAAGTAGTAAGTACAAATAAACACAAACAAGAAAAATATATATGTATATAAATTTATATATGTAGACATACACATCTGTACTTTTGTGCACGTAGCAGGTTGGACTAGGCCGGCGCCGAATGCCTCATGCAAAACTGGTCCCCTTGTCGTATGCCCTGGTTGGCATAATAGCCGTGCTCCTGCCGATATTTTGCAGATGTAGGACGGGCCAGCTCTCTTCGCTCTGCTACCCGCCGAGTTTGAACCCCGTCCATGAAAATCTTTGGCACAATCGCGCGGTGCGCGGGTGTCCTTCCGATCACCAGAGGGCCGCAGCAGCAAGACAAGCAAGATGAGACTTGGCAAGTGCACAAAGCCTACCTACCAGTTCTGCCATGCATCAGTGCTGCGAGGTCTGGGACGTGGCACTGGGAATGGCCGTAGAAGTACTCGCACTCCAAGCCGTCCGACGTGAGTGACTGTTGCAGGGTAAGCTTGTCACAAGAAGTTCTAACGAACGCTTAACTCGATTCAGGATCCGGTCGGCATCGGCAAAAGTTGTACAATCTTGTCGCAGCCCTTCTTTGTTCCGCTGACCAGACCACTTTGTGCTACAACCTCCGTCCAATTCAGGGCCTTCGCGTCGTGCTTGAGGGCCGACATGGGCACCGTGATCTTGGAGTTGCCGGTGTCCGGCCCTTCGTATCGCATCTTGAAGGCCTCGCCACCGCCCACCGCGCACCTCTCCACCACAAGACTGTGGACGTTCGGCCCGAGGAACTTGTCCTGGCTGGACTTTTCGGTTTCGCCATGGCAGCCATTGTTGTCCACGATCTTCTCCCCGTTCAGGTACAAGAGAGATCCTGGCGACCACAAGCAACGTAGGGCTCTTCGGTATCTAGCTGACCTAGCTCATCTGACGACCTGCATATCTCTTCACCGAGGCTGCAACGGAAGCCGTTGTTTTTTCGGGCTGGGGGCCGGGGCAACATACAAGCAAACCATGTGCGCCAGGGATGATGCAACGCAAGGCTCGTGTTCATGGCAGCAACTCTCTGAAGGTCGAGCCCCCAGTCTTTTACATCGCATATCAACTCCTGAATTCATGAAGGAGATGTTCCACAATCTGCTCGCTTTCTCAGCACAACTGCAATACCAACCTGAAACGAACACCAAGCTCGAACTCACCGGCCCTCGAAGCCGTGACCAAGCCCTATAACCGGACAGCTCTATTTAGGACACTGTTTGTCAAAGATTGCGAGGCACCATCGTCTGAGCTCAGGTAGAACTTGTAGTTGCCCGAGTTCCGCGTCACCACATAACCCATGCACCTGCAGGGCGCTCCTCGCTACCTGTTTCATATCACCGTGACAAAACCAACACCGACTGCCTCATGCAAAATTGGTCCCCTTGCCGGACTCCGAGGACGGAGGCTTTGCCGTGCTCCTGCAAGCAGCAGCAAGCCAGGATTCCTACGGGAGGTTGGTCCGATCTTCAGCCCCAGTCCATGTAGATGTTTGGCACAATCCCGCTGTGGAGTGGCGTCCTTGTGGCCCAGAAACAGTGCGAAAAGGCACTAGGCGAGTGGACAAACACAGAAGACCTGCGATTTATGCCAGGATTCGTCGCTGCGAGGTCTGGGACGTCACAATGCGCCTGGTTGTAGAAGTAGTCGCACTCCAAGCCGTCCGACAGGGACAGGGCCTTGCAAAAAACTGCTGCAACTACAACCGCAACAAATACTTCGTCTAACTGCTGGAGGCCACTCTGTTCACTCCAACGAGCCTGAACCTTCGAGTGCTTGAGGGCCCACTTGGGCACGGTGATCTTGGAGTTTCCGGTGTCCGGCCCTTGGTATTGCATCTTGAACGCCTCGCCATCGCCCACCTCGCACATCTCCACCACAAGACTGTGGACGTTCCGCCCGAGGAACTTGTCCTGGCTGGACTTTTCGGTTTCGGCGCCATGGCAGCCGTTGTTGTCCACGATCTTCTCCCCGTTCAGGTACAAGAGAGATCCTGGAAAGGTCAAATAAATCTTGCAGGCCAGGTGGCATAAACGGCACCAGCTCCCCTAGCTCTGCGCTCCGTCGTCTGAGCTCAAGAAGAACTTGTAGTCTCCCGGTGTTTTCGTCAGCAGGCGACCTGTGCACCTGCACTGCCACAGTGGTTCAGTGACTCTCAGGAAACACTCAGGTGGGCGCTACGTTTCGGTCTGCTGACATGGGTGCAACTTCCATGTCAATTTGGGCCTTTACATGCCTTAGGTAAGAACCTCTTCAGGCCCGGTGCGGGGCTCTCCCGATAAGAAAAGAGAAACTCTCTTCTAGCTGACAGGAGAAAGATGAGAAAGATAGACTGGTTCAAGAGCAGTTCTGCCGCGCAGATCTGGCCGGCAAGGCAGTCACTGAGGTACTTTCTGAACGTCGAATCCAAGGGACACACACACAGGGAACAGAAAGAAACCGACGGGCAAAGAGAACTGTGGGCAACCGACCACAGCAGCTAAGGCGCGTGGCGATCACGAACGAAGGCAGAAAGGGTCTTGTTGCAATATAGGGGTGTGATCACTGCATACGATGCCCTGCCTGATGCAGAAGTCGTCGTGTTGGCGTAGTCCTGGGAAGCGCCCGTTCTCCTGATCAGAATGCCGAGGCCTTTCAAGTGACCACTTGCAGTCAACGACCAACCCCGTCCATGAAGATCTCCGGCACACTCCCCTTGTGGACAGGTATCCTTGCAGCGGGATCAAGGCATATGCATTGGCAAGTCGCAAATCCACGAGTGCCATCCTGCACAGCATTTTCCAGTCCACAAGCAGCACGAGAACCACGACTGGAGATGAAGGTTGATCTGATTTCTGCCGGGCATCCGGGCTGCGAGATCTGTGATGTGGCACTGCGACTGGCCGTAGAAGTATTCGCACGCCAAGCCATCCTCGAGATCGTCCTGCAGATGTATCCCACAAACTCTCAAGGTGGGGTATGGAACTGACAGGTACCTCGTGACCTGTGCTCACTGAATACCCGTTGCTCTGCCAAGCTGTTCGGGGCAAGGCCTGGCCCTGGAACGTGAAAGTCGTGGTTGTGGTGGTGGATGTCGTTGTCGTCGTGGTCGTAAATGTCTCCTAAACTAGACTTTCTCAACTCGTCAGTTCTGTGCGGACACTGAGGCTCTCACCGTGAAGGTTGAAGTCGTCGTTGTCGTGCTTGTCGTTGTCGAAGTCGATGTTGTCGTGCTTGTCGTTGTCGAAGTCGATGTTGCTGTGCTTGTCGTTGTCGAGGTTGTCGTTGTCGAGGTCGATGTTGTTGTACTTGTCGTTGTCGAGGTTGTCGTTGTCGTGGTCGATGTTGTTGTGCTTGTCGTTGTTGAGGTTGTCGTCGTTGTTGTCGAGGTCGTCGTTGTCGTGGTCGATGTTGTGGTGCTTGTCGTTGTTGTCGTCGAGGTCGTCGTTGTTGTGGTGGATGTTGTGGTGGTGGTCGTCTCAGCATTACGAAAGCAAGGCGACACTTGTGGAACCAGTAAGCATCTCAACCATTTTAGCAGCATTTGCTTGCTACAGGGATGATAGAGCACCCAAGGCGTACTTGACGGGCTGAGAATGCAATGCAGCGTAGCACCCGTCTTTACACCTCTTGCTTGGCCCCTAATGAACGCACTTAGCTTCACAGAGAGACTACAAGATCGTTGCGAGCGCTTTCAACATCGTATCGAGCCCGGCGGCAGTCTGGCACGCAGAGCCCATGGTCCTCGGAAAAGTTGGCTTGCGTCTCTCCAGGCATTCCCCAAGCCTCCGAACCATAAGCAGCCTCCCTGGACCTTCTAAATTCCTTGATCCGAGACGCCAGATGGTGTGGCACTTTGAGTACTGAGGTGACCCTCATTACTGAGCTTTTCCGGCGGCTTATTCGAAACGTCCTCTATAATGCCCTTTTTGCCAAGCCGGCTTTTTGGCTCTGCTGTGTTGTGTCCTGCTGCAGTAATGGTTATGAATCTTAGCTGTAGAGACGATTACAACCATCTTGCTGCACTACTGTCTTTTCCTGTAAGGCTGAATCAAGCATCAGGCTTGGTCGAATGTAGAGCAGAATGCAGGAAGAAGGAATTCAAAATAAATGGTTTTTAGTCTTGGCAATTATCTTGGGGTGATCGGGGTTTGTTTTCGAACTTTCGAAGCCATGTACACACTGCGTACGCAGCTCTCGGTACCCCTATAACGCTCCTCCTGTACTACTACTCATTACTTCTGAACTACTGCTGTACTGCTACTGTATATACCTGTACTCTGTACTACAGCACCACTTCTGTATTTCTAGTAGACTGTCTTGCTACGACACTACTACTGTCACTGTGCATTACTGTACTATGACTGTACGACTACTGTACTATTGCTGTACTGGTGTACTACAGTACTAATGCCCTACTGCACCCAGCGCACTACAACGCCTATCTCGTTCTGCAGGACCCCACACACTTCTAACGAGCTGATCTCCCTCTGCAGCCCCCACCCCCAACCCCGGCAGGTCCGCAGGGTCATACTGTTCAGGATGCCAGTAAAATGGCACTCGGGGCGGGGGAGGAACTAAACAAAGTGCAACATTAGGGCCCACTTGCCCAAATTGTCTGCTGAGCTGCGTGTTGCAGATATGACTTGCGAGCCAGGCAGTCATACAAAATCAAGAGGTAAAACAATGGAATCTGCGCGCAATGCCTTGCTCTGTACTCACTACCTTGCCTCGTTTTCAGGTGGTGGATGTATGGTGCCCTGCATGCCCTACATAACCTCTTTTGCCTTTGCGTGCTGGCCCCGTGATGATGGGTGGTGCGGCCGTGGCCTTGTCTGCCCGCTGGATCGGTGGTGCATGGGTGCTGTGTGCTGTCTGCTCCAAAGAGGTCAACGAATGTGAGAGGGTCTATCCCCTCTATCTGCCCCAACCACGGCGGGTCGCTGGGCTGGCAGACCGAAAGAAGCTCCAGCTAGAATCTAGGTGGGGCGAGCGCCATGGCTCTGTTCTTGTGCCCCTGTAAGCTGAAAGACAAGATCGTCTACAACGTTTTGCTGCGAAGGCTTCTCCTGCTGCTCCATGAACATGTACAGGGCATTCAGCCTCTGGATCTGCTGCTGTAAGTCTGACTCCTCGCTTTGCAGCTGGATATCTGAAAGCGGCCGGGGATATGCTTCTTGCATGAGTGAGGCTGCAAGAGCAGGGAGACTGGAAGAGTCGATCCCAAGAGCCCGCTGCTCCAGAGCTTTTTTGGACAGCATTTTTCGAGACATGCTGGAATATGGGCCTGCGAGCGTAGGCGCATGAGGAGCTCAGAAGGCTTGACTGTTTGCTTCAATGAGAGCACATGCGCGGCGATGAGCGTAGCTCGAATCTGGCACCATGGTGGCATGTCCATTACTGCTAGGACGGATGTTCTCCTGGCTGAAGTTGCCGGCTCTGCTACGTATTCTGCCGGCCATCGATGACAGGGCGATAGATGCCCGTTTGCTGATCGTGCGTGGTCGGTTGGTTGGAAGTGACCTTCCTGCATGATGCTCTGCAGACAAGCCTAACAATGCTGTGAGCTTGTGAATGTTGGCGTGGATGATGTGCAGTGTGACACATGTGCAGCTGCTCGTCGCTGGGAGTGTGAGGGCTGGCGCTGGGACTGTGTGTGAGGTCTGAGTTAGTGGTTTCAAGGTAGTTTGGGAACTTGAGTACTGGAAGCCAATGAGCTTGTTCACGCCCTTCGAGACGAGAGGGGTTGTGGTTGTGTCCTAACCCTCGTGTACTGTGCGTATGTATGTATGTATGTATGTATGTATGTATGTATGTATGTATGTATGTCTGTCTGTATGAATGTAGTTGTGCACGTGTATATAAATATAAATATAAATATAAATATAAATATAAATATAAAAATAAATATAAATATAAATATAAATATAAAAATAAATATAAATATAAATATAAATATAGAATAATATATATATATATATGTATGTATGTATGTATCTGTCCGTCCGTCCATCCATCCCTGCACATACACACATACACTGTCATACACACGATTCCGAGCTTTGACTGGGTTTGTTTGCTAGGCTCGCAACGGAACCGCTCCTGCACCCGCAGCCGCGGATGCTCGAGCGGTTCTCTCCGGTACCGCAGGTTTTGGACTTAGGACATCCGCGGCTTCACTGATGGCTCGAGGCGATTGCTTCTGCATCCCTCTAGATTCTGTGTCTGTGCCCGACCAGGTCGGCGACGGAGACACCGGCACCGTAGAGTCTCTTCTGACTCTGCTTCCTCAAGACGCTCTGCTCGCCCGGACAAAAAGACAGCGTGCGCTCGCTTCCTCTGCTGGGTACCGGACTTGTGACTAGTGAACACAGACATAACCATGTGGATATATATATATATATGTAGACATGCACGCATGCATGATATACATGCACACATGCATAATTCACGTAACAACCAAACATCCACATTCATGTACGTACAAGGCAACATATGTGAAACATACATACAAACATACACACAAACATACACAACACAAACGTACACACATGCATACAGACACATTCACAAACGTAGACTATCATGCGTACACATGCGTAGACATACGTAGGCTTACTGATTTATTACCAATTTATGTACTTGTTATGTATTTATTTGTTTATACATGCATGTATATACATGCGTACATACATACATACATACATACATACATACATACATACATACATACATGTTCACTATAGTCACTAGTCCGGTACACTGCAGAGGAAGCTGGCGCACGCAGCTTTTTGTCCATTGCCGGAAAAGTCCGTGTCCGGTCTGGTGCCGCCTGTACAGAAGAGCACGAGGCGGGCACCGGAGACGGACACAGAGCAGGAAAGATTTCCCGTTTGGCCGCCAACCGGCCCCAGAGACAGAAGTCCCGGAGACGGGCAAAGGCCAAAGGGAAAAGCCCAGAAAGGGCGGAAGAAGGGGGATGGTGCGGGAAGTCCAAAACCTGCGGTACCGGACCGGCACCGCTCGGGCATCCGCGGCTGCGGGTGCGGGAGCGGTTCCGTTGCGAGCCTAGCAAACAAACCCAATCCCCGCTCGGAATGGTTCACTAGTCACTAGTCCGGTACACTGCAGAGGAAGCTGGCGCACGCAGCTTTTTGTCCATTGCCGGAAAAGTCCGTGTCCGGTCTGGTGCCGCCTGTACAGAAGAGCACGAGGCGGGCACCGGAGACGGACACAGAGCAGGAAAGATTTCCCGTTTGGCGGCCAACCAATGTAACCATCGAGCTGCAGCTTGACCACAGCCGTGGTAAAGGCCAATAGAGAAATCAAGCGGGCAGGTCCGGCAACTGGGCCAGGTAGCCAGAGAAGGCTGAAGACGAAGGCGCCAGGGACAATGACGGGGTATCGGGAAAGGACCCCCAGTCGATCTCCACAGATTCCTGCGCAGAGAAACCCAAAGCGGCAGGATCCTTGGAACGGCTCAACGCATCGATGCGACGTCGTTAAGCAAACCGGGCACGTGATCCAGGTGAACGGAAATACGGTGCCGGTGTTGAGCCAGAAAGAAGGAGCGAAGGACTGAACAGAGGCCAGTAGCGAGGGAAATCCCCTTCCAGCTGGCGGAGTCAGATGCGGCGTTGTCGCATCGGAAAATGCAGTGGACGGGCCCAGCAATTGATGCAGGAGCAGGATAAGCGCGCATTGGGCCAAGAGCTCCCATGATGCAATGAAGCTCTGTACAGAGTCATGCAGAGAGTGCCACCCAAGGAAACAGGGAGAGCAGCTCTGCACGGGAAAAAGTCTTCTGAAAGAAGAGCTGAGCTCCAGAGGGGAGACGAACGAAGCCTCCGAGGCCAGCGGACGACGCCGAGGCACAGGCATCTGCGAAAGCTGCACATTCAAAGCGAGGAGCGCGAAAGAGTGAGCGCAGCGATGTCCCTGATTCCGCCAAGTCCAGCCAGAGGCGGAGGACGTGCAGAGCCCTAAGGCTCCGGTTAGCCTATT